AAACACTACCTACATACCTATAAATTAATTGATTATACCATAAGTTAATAAAGAGTCACATAATAATCTCTCTCTCTCTCTCTCTCTCTCTCACACACACACACACACACACACACACACACACACACACACACACACACACACACACACACACACATATATATATATATATATATATATATATATATATATATATATATATATATATATATATATATATATATTAAAGTATTCAATAAAATAAATAATAACACATCAAGTAATATTTATTATATATTGATTTTTGTATGAGAATGAAACATAGCTTACAACCATATTTATTTAGAGCATTCACATCAGTTGGGAGATTTGAGAAATAATGTAAGAGTGATTAGGAAAAAGAAAGTGGGAAGGGGAGGAAAAAAGGGGGGAAAAAAATAAAACTAAAATTTTAAAAAAAGAAAATAAATAAAATAAATGAAGCGTCAGGCACGCTGACGCGTCACACGGGCGCGTGCACTGCACGCGCCAGTGTGACCACATGCTGTGCGCGAACGCGCACAGCTTGTGTTGCTCTTTTTTTTTTTTTTTTTTTGTTTTGTTTTGTTTTCTGCCATTCTTCCCAAATTTGCAGAACAAATAACTTGCTAATTAACCCCACCCCACATCTATAAATAACCCCACCCAAGTTATTTATTCTTACATTAACCTCATATTATGCTCTATTGTGGTTGCTCTTAGAGTCCCTTTTCCAAGAGTCGTTATGCTGTGCACCCGTGTGTACCATGTATGATGCACACAAAAGCAAAAACGACATCGTTTTGACGTCCACTTAAAAAAGAAAAAATTCAGAATTGCATAACTATACATCCAGAATTGCATAACTACACATCCATAATTTTATTACTATACCTCCAGAATTGCATAATTACACATCCATAACTTCATAACTATAAATCCAGAATTGTATAACATCATAACTATATATTCAGAATTGCATAACTACACATCCATAATTTCATAACTATAAATCTAGAATTGTATAACTATTATCCATAATATCATAACTATACATTCAGAAATTATGCACAACATAATGTTGTTGACGGAAATCGAAACTGAATTTTTTTTTTAAGTTGGACGCGCGTTTTTAGTCAAAACGACGTCGTTTTTGCATCCATTTTCCCTTTTCCAACAATATAAATTATTATTATTATTATTATTATTATTATTATTATTATTATTATTATTATTAGAGCAAAGCCCATTAAGTTTCCAACAATATAAATTCTCTTTCATTTATTTAAATGGGTTGCATACTTGCATCGGTTGATGAGACCTTGAGAAGCTAAACAGATTTAAAATAATAATAATAATTTGAAGAAAGTCACAATGCAAGTGATCCTGTTGAGAAGAAAACCAAAAGTTTGGGAACAAGAAAACCAAAAGTTAATCTTATCACATTATCTATAAGATTTAAAAATCTTATTTTTGTTTTGAATTAGTTGACTTTATTCTAAATTATATTAATTTATTAAAGTGCAAAAATTAAAGCAATAAAAAAATTACGAGTGAATTCCATTTTTGGTCCTACTGTTATAGGGACGTTTTCAATTTCAGTTCACTTTAATTTTTTTTTTTGTCACTTTACAACCACTGTTATTGAATGTGTTCCACTTTTAGTCCACCGTTAATATTTTCGTCAAGAGGCCGTATAATCAAAGGGTATTTTGGTCTTTTTATGTTTGTCTCTTCTCTTTTAATCCAGGCGCTTCGTCCTCCTCCTCCGATATTCGAAGATGGCTCTTCTAACAACGAGAATAGGAAGCCAAAGCTACGTCGTTTCGTTCGTTCCAACATGGGCCGACGAGGTTTCTTAGGTTTTAGGTTTAATGTTCTCATTTCTTTAGTCAAACATAGTCTTGGATGAGAAGAAAGGTCAAAATACCCCTAGATTACACGGCCTCTTGATGGAAATATTAACGGTGGGGCTAAAAGTGGAACACATTCAATAATAGTGGTTATAATATGGCAAAAAAAAATTAAGGTGGACTAAAATTGGAAACGCCCATATAACAGTAGGACCAAAAATGGAATTCACTCAAAAATTACACAGAGAATCTAAATTGACAATCATACTTGATAGTTGATACTATTATGTATAGCATATATATATGATTGTATCATGTAGTTTTAATATGGAATTAATTTGTTTTTTGTTCTAAATTTATAGGTGACATTTTACTTTTAATTTTTTTTTTTTCAAAACATCACATATTGGTCCTAGTATTTTTATGGCATAATCATTTTTTATCTCATACATGTCAACAAACTTATTTAAATTGCGTTAAATATGTGAACATTTCAGTCTATTTAGTTCTAAGTGTTAATTTTTTTTTTTTTTTTAATTCTAGATTTATATTTGTCGTTCGATCATTCTATTGTGGCAGAGGCGCGATTGCAATTGAAAAGACATGAGACTCTTCCCGTGAATTAGAGATTTTGTTCTATATATATAACATGTTTTTTGCCAAATGATAAAACAATGATCATGCCACAGTGATACTAGGACAAACAGGAGATGCATGTTTTGAGAAAAAAAAAAAAAAAAACTAAAAGTAAAATAGAATAAGAAATGAAATTAATTCTTCTAGTATGATTTTCAAATTCCAATCGAACATATAATACGATGATGCATGTCATATATATATATATATATATATATATATAGTATGACCATATTTCTTGTCTCTTGTATTTGTTTTTTCCCCTACGTTAGTTGTGCCGATGATTTTTAAATTTAATTTGCATCATTTGAACAAGAAAACAGTACTTGGTTGTGTGTTTTGTAAGGTGGGCATCAAGCTTGGTTCGTGCTTCAAACTGTTTTGGTTGTTTAGTAAGACTCGATTATATTAGGGTTGTCTTGATCTGTATTACAAATCGACTAGACTATGCGGTCTACGCAAGCCATCATTTTTGACATACAAACTAGCTCAGCCTGATGAATCATAATTTTTTTAAAATATAAAATCAAATCAAATAGTTTATTTATTTGTTACTTTTAGTAAAAATGATCAAATATACCTTTGAATTTTAGTCAATTAGCCGCCTAAATTTTTAAAGGTGCATGCAACAATTCATTTTGATACAATGAAGCCCAAAAATCAGTTAATGACTTACTATTACAGGTCATCAGTAGAGATCCGGCCACCATCCGGTGAAATTTCTGTCCCAAATGCCTTTGTGCAATTAGCACTTTAGCACCGTAAATCTATGTTGATTTACTTGTGATCCAATGCTGGCTAGAGTCACAATGTGGGCTTCACCGAGATCACTAAATCTATGTTGATTTCTCGTAAATCAAATTACAATTAATGGCCCTGTCTGGTATAATAGTTAGCCTATAGGCCAATTTTGATTTATTTGACCATTATTTGACTTGATTTAAAAATCAATACAAGTGTTTGGTCAATTAGTTTTTTTACTCCAAAATGCTAAAATTCAAAAAACTACTCAAATTAACTTTTTCAATTAGTCTTTTAAGAGGAAAAAAAATTATACTAAACAGTCATCAGCTATCAGTTAATTTACCAAACACCCTTCTACCATCAGTTAATGTTATCAACTAGTTATACCATCTAATTAACGCAATCAACTAACAGCTATCAGCTAACAGTGATTAAAAAAAAAAAAAGTAATAACACTGTAATCCAGTAAATAAACATTTGTTAACAATTACATTGAAATGACACTCTCAAATCAGTTCTTACTGTTGCTTTCTCCTCTTCATTTTTGCGCCTGTCTGTATTTTAAACCCCCTTTCACTTTTTTATTCATCTGGTTGTCTGCTTCATCTTTCTTGAAGGTTGTACCTTATTCCATATTTCCCTGATGCCCTTAACCCAGACACGGCATATCCGCATGATCTTGGTTAATGTGTGAATCTTGATGACAGAATATTGCACTACGAGGAAAAAAACACCGTACCTTAACCCAAGATTCTTAATAACTAGAGGAGGACAACAGCTTGTAACATAACATATATGCCTATATTATATAGTCCTCTTGTTTCTATACATGTCTGAAAGATAATAAAAAGGTTTAAAAAAAAAAAAAAATTGGCATGGCGCAGTTACACTGGAAGAAAAGACAGCAGTAGTTCATTTTCTCTCTCACCTTTTGACCTGAGATGAGTTCTTGGATTTGGCAATGGTTTGAAAAGTGAAAATCTTACGGAGTAAAAACACACAAACAACAAACACAAAAAGGTTTTTCAACTTTGACTCTAAGTTGTTTCAATCTCTCCAGCCCGCCAATCAATAGTTATATTGTGAACCGAGGACCACCTTACAAGTTGGACTCTATTAAAAACAACAGTTTTTTACAGCGTGTCGAATATGTTTTTTTAACATTAAGCTTTGGGTTTTTGAATATACAATTTATGAATATTAAATTTTAATAAGTTTTATGAACATATATAGTGTTTAGTTTCTAAATATTAAGTTTTGGGTTTCTGAAACATATGTAAGTTATGTTATGAACACGTAACAGAATGAATGTTGTAATGTCTAATTTTAGAACAGTAATCATTAAGTTTAATATATAGTATCTAGTTTCTAAACTTTAATTAGTCTTTGAGTTTTGCTTTGAATTTCTGAAAGAAAATAAAATGTTATTTTGGATTAGGTCCACCTTGCCTGGACCCTAGTGCATGAGGTCTACTACATATATTTTCAAATTCTACTTTCTCACTTTTATTTTTTGATCTGATAGACAAGGATAGACTATTTTCATCATATGAGTCCCAAAAAAAAAAAAAAAAATATCTACATGAACATAGTCCCGAGGGCACGCGCGCAGGTCCATACTCCATACACATAAATATGGTACTTGTCAGTGTGGTTTTCCTGCATGCCTTGAACTGCTATTACTTCAAGAAAATCAGAACATATAAATGTATGCGTCTCAGATAGTTTGAAGCATTATATTTTGTATACTTCTTTGTTTTTGAGCTTAAAGAAAGAATCTTGAAATGGAAAGAGTAAGCAGTTTCTGGGTAGCTATGGTGTTGGGGATTTTTCTCTTGTCAGAAACCAGTAAGAGTCTTGTTGAGAATGATAAGCAAGCATTAATGGAGTTTGTAAAGAATGTCCCTCATTCAAGGCCTCTGAACTGGGATGAGAAGCTCTCAGTTTGCAAGAACTGGAGTGGGGTGACCTGCAGTGAAGATGGTTCCAGGGTTACTGGTCTGAGATTACCTGGGGCAGGTTTTCATGGCCCAGTTCCAGAGAATACCCTCAGCCGTTTATCAGCTTTGCAGGTCTTGAGCCTCAGATCCAATGGCATTTCTGGGAACTTCCCTTCAGATTTTGGTAATCTGAAAAACTTATCCTATCTTTATCTGCAGAACAACCATTTCTCTGGGCCTTTGCCTTTGGATTTGGGTGTTTGGGAGAATCTCACCATTGTTAACCTGTCCAACAATGGGTTCAATGGTAGCATTCCTTATTCGATTTCGGGTCTGTTTCGGCTCACTCATTTAGACCTTTCAACCAACTCATTCTCTGGTGAAATCCCTGACATGAATCTCCCTAACTTGCAGTTCTTGAACCTGTCTGACAATTACCTTAGTGGCGTCGTCCCTGGGTCACTTCAAAGGTTTCCTAGGAGCGTGTTTTTCGCAAACAATGTGTCCTTTTCCTTGTTGGACTATTCTGTTTCCACCCAAAACCTGAAACCCAAGAATAACAATTCTGCAGGGGAGTTGAGTGAGAGGGGTTTGGTTGGAATCATACTATCTGTGAGTGTGATTGGGATTCTTGGATTTGGTTTTCTGCTGCTTATCTGTTGTCTTAGAAAGAAACAGGAAGAGCCCTTCCAGCATGGGAATATGGAGTCACCCGAGAAGGCGATTTCGCAGACCCAAGAAGAGACAATGAGCAACAGATTGGTGTTCTTTGAAGGTTTTAACTATGCATTTGATTTAGAAGATCTTCTTGGAGCTTCTGCTGAGGTACTGGGGAAAGGAACATATGGTATGGCCTATAAGGTGATACTCGAGGAGGCAGCGACGGTGGTGGTGAAAAGATTGAAGGAATTGGGAGTTGGGAAGAGGGGATTTGAGGAGCAAATGCAGGTTGTGGGAAGTATAAAACATGAGAATGTTATTGAGCTTAGAGCATACTACTTTTCCAAAGAGGAGAAGCTCATTGTCTATGACTATTTCAGCCATGGCAGCGTTTCTGCAATGCTACACGGTATGTCTATCTCTATATTCTAAGCAATATGAGTATCATAAACTTTTATATTTCATAATAAATAAACCAACAACTTATGATTCAGGTTAACCGAACTACTTAACATGTCTAGTTAACTGGCACGACCTTAATATATAAAGGAGGTGTTTGACAATTAGCTTATAAATGATTGGTTTATAGCTGATAGCTTATTGCATTAGCTAGCTGGTTTAATTGGACTACCTGATTATATATATGAATGTGTTTAGTAAATTAGCTGATTACATGTAATGAAGCATTAGTTGATCAAACAAGTCAAGACTTAAATTATAAGCCATTTTTCAAACACCCTTGTTGGTAATTAGCTGATAACTAATTGGTCTAGCTCATAGTTGATAGCTGATTTGACTAGCTGGTAGTATTAGCCGGTTATAGAGATATATTTGATAAATTAATTGTTTATTCTTAGCTGATTACACGTAAACTGACAAATAGACTTGGAAACATTGATACATAAGGTGTATATTATTGTATCTATTGCTATTTTGCAGGCAGGAATGGAGAAAGCAAGAGGCATTTGGACTGGAAAACGCGGCTGAGGATAGCCATTGGAGCAGCAAGGGGGATTGCTAGAATCCATGAAGAGAATAACGGCGGGAAGCAGCAGCTGGTTCACGGCAACATAAAATCCTCCAACATCTTCCTCAACTCCAGGCAATACGGGTGTGTCTCCGACGTCGGAATCTCCACGATTATGAGCCCATTAACTCTGCCGGTTGCCCGTTCAGCAGGCTACTGTGCACCGGAGGCCATGGATAACCGGAGAGCAGCGCAGCCGCCGTCCGACGTCTACAGCTTCGGCGTGGTCTTACTGGAGCTCCTCACCGGGAAGTCCCCTCTCCACGCAACGCGCGGCGGCGACGAGATCGTCCACCTCGTCCGGTGGGTCCACTCGGTGGTCCGGGAGGAGTGGACGGCGGAAGTGTTCGACGGAGATCTTCTCAAGTTCCCAGACGTTCAAGAGGAAATGGTGGAGATGTTGCAGATTGCCCTGTCATGTGTGGCCAGGGTGCCAGATCAACGGCCTCAAATCCATCAAGTTCTGAAAATCATCGAAAACCTTCAACATACAGATATGGAGAAGAGGCAATCGTTTGAAAACACAACTTCAAAGCCGCCATTGCCACCCACTCAAGGAGAGTTATTGGTTATACTGGATTCACAAGATCAAATTACTATATACTAAGTGAGAACGTAACGTAGGCTCTATCTCTATAATCATATTTTTAGACGAAAGTTGTATCGATATATATTTCAATATATTGATCTTGTGAGTTTTGCATAATTCACAACATTTGCAGTGGTGAAAAAAAATTCTTTTTGTGTGTTTTTCTTTCCATTCACCCTCTTGGTGAAGGGCTGCAAATTTTTGTAAGCAGATTATGGTTTTATGGCAAAGTGTGGATTATTGATCTCATGAGTTATCTCTCTTAAACTCTATTTTATTTGGCAATTTGAAGTAAAGGGGGTGTATTCAATCATGACTTTTATAGAGTTTTAAAGACTTTTAAAATGATAGATTTTAATAAACTTTGATTGACTTTCGTTCGTTCAAAACTCTTTAAAACTTTATAAGACTCTATAAAAGTCTATATAAAAAACATTCATAGACTTTTATCGACTTTTTATTTAAAAAGTCTACAAAAGTCATTGAAATTCTAAATTGAATACATCTTTACAAACATTCAATGATTTTTATTCTTATCATTTATAATTTTCTTACAAAACATTTATAATATATCATAAAATGCTTCTTATTATATAGTTCTTCACCCATATCAACAATCTCAACATTATTATTTTTATCCATAGTATGCTGAGACTTATATGCTAATTACTTATTCTTCAAAAAAAATGCTAATTACTTATATATATATATTATTAATAAACATCAACAAAAAACTATTTCATTAGAAATTCATAACAATATTGAACAATAAAATTTATAATAAAAGAATTGATCAAATAAAATATTTAAAAATATAATTACAAGTTGCATAAAATAAAAGAATAAAAAAATAAAAATCTAATATTAATAATATATATACAAGTTTTCAAAAAAATAATATATATAAAAAATTATACTTGATATATTGCTAGGCTTCCTGCAAAGAGCTATTATTTGCAATAGTAATTTGAGACTGTGAACAACAAGGTGTTACTGTTTGTAACCCCAAATTGTTGTTGCGAATAGTAGTTCGCTATTCGTAGTAACCTGTTGTTAATATATATATTACGAATATAAGCATAAAAAAATCAAAATATATAAATATTTATATGAATATTATGAAACATATACTAAAATTTGAGAATGAAAATTTTGATTTGTTCATGTATTTAGAGAGAATTAGAGAAAGTTAGAGATAAAAAATTCATATAAAAAATAAAAATCAATATAAACAAGCAATAATAATGAAATAAAAATAATATTATTTCGAATTTTTAGATAAAGATTGTAAAGTTTAGGAGAGAGAGAAAAACTGGTAGAGTTTAGGTATGAGGAAAATATAGGATAATGAAGAAAAAAGTAATTTTATTGAATTTAGATAGGTTTATAAAGTTTAAATATGAAAAAAATAAAGTTTAAATAGAGAGAGAAAACATTCAAAGTTGTTAGAAAGAAAATTTTGAAATCTTGGGGTTGATGGTTGGATTTCAACTATTTATATTAGACCAGGAAAAATCTACAAAAAGTCTTAAAATTAAAAAGTCTACAAAAGTTCATAACTTTTTGAATACCACATGACTTTTAAAGACTCTTTAAAAGTCTTAATCGAATACTACACGACTTTTAAAGACTCTTTAAAAATCTTGATTGAATACCGCCTGACTTTTAAAGACTCTCTAAAAGTTTGAATTGAATACGTCCAAACTTTTAAAGTTCATAAAAGTCTTTAAAACTCTATGAAAGTCATGAATGAATACACCCCTATAAGACTGTGTTTAGGAACTGGAAAAATTATTTTTGAAAATTATTTTTCCAGTTTCTAGTGTTTGTTTGACAATGGGAGAAAATGATGGTCAACCGAAATTGATTTTCAGTTAAAGGAAAAATAAGTCTATTTTTTCGGAAAATGACTTCCCTTTTTCTGAGGAGAAGTCATTTTTCGAAAAATTCAAAACAACTTTTTTCTTGTTCTCCATATTCTTTGTTGGTTTCCAAGCTGGAATAAGAAATCTGATTCCCGACAGAAAGCAGATTAACTCCATTTACTAGTTTCCGTTGGAAACCAAAAGTTTTTCTGGTTTCCGAAATTGGAAGCTTCCCAAGTCGGAAGCCAGATTTATCTGGTTCCCAGCTTTGGAAACCAGGTTTTTTTTTTAATAATAATTAAACCATTGTTTTTTTAATTTTTTTATAATATTAATTTTTTAATACAATTTTACTCATTTTTTAAAAAATTATGCAAACACATTAAAATAATTTTTCAAGTTTTCAAACACACCCAAAATCACGCTGCTTACAATGTTATGGGAATCTCCTATTTTCACTTGGTTAATGTTCATGTCCAATGTAATGATTTTGACAAAGGCACTCATTAGGCCATTATGTTAATGTATTCGTCACCTTCTCTTGTAGCCCTAAAATTCAAAAATATTTTTAACATGCGTATACGTAAAATTTATATGTTAACTGATGATATATCAATTATTAATAATTTATATATCCAGATAGAATAATTAATACATTAATTAATTTTGTTACGTTTATAATATTTGAGTTAAGGTCCAAAGGTCCAAGCTATTTATATAAGACAGGAGGTCCAAATTATGTGATAACCTAATCCAATGATATACAAACAAAATATGACAATTGAGAGTATGTGTTAAGCCACCTGAATGGTCATGTGATGAAAATCATCATGGTCTTAACATCGAAAAGTGAAGTAGTGTCCAGTCAAATAGTACACACCATATCGTGCTATCCTCTTCATTTCTAATCTATAACACCTTTAGAGGTCCAAAACACATTTGAAGAATTGGATTTAATGAACATGTTTTATATTTTCAATTTACTAATTATCCAATTTCCTATTTTTCATGAAAATTAAATCAATTCGCCATTTTTTAAATGCTACTGAGTATGCCGCCTTCACTGAGACTTGAACCCACACTCTTCCATATGGGAATGCAACTCGAGTGCCATTAGATCAATTCTCCATTGATTAAGCATTCCCTTAACTTTTGGACCTCTAAAAGTGTTAGATATTAGTACTATATGATTACGAGTAAATATCATTGTATTAAAATTGCAAATCTATTGGAGGTTTATACAATTGAAAATTTTGTCCACTGTACTATCGTAGTTGTAGCCAATAGAAATGAAGAGGATAGCGCGATATGGTATGCACTATTTGATTGGACACTACTTTACTTTTCAATATTGAGAGCATGATTTCCGCCACATGGACTTTCTAGTGGCTTAACACATACTCTTAATTGACATATTTTATTTGTATACGATTGAATTAGGTCCCCACATAATCTAGACCTCTCATCTTATATAAATAGTCATTTTTACTTTAACCGTTAAACTTAACCCAAATATTATAACTCCAACAAACTTAATTAATTATTCTATCTTGATATATAAATTATTAATAATTGATATATCATCATTTAACATTAAATAATTTTACACATGTTAAAAAATAAATAAAATTAGTTACAAGTTCATGTCTGATTTGGATAAGGTTAAGCATTGATGTAATGATTTTGACAAAGGGACTCATTAGGCCATTATGTTTATGTATTCGTTGTCACTTTCTCCTGTGGCCATATTGTCATTGCTTCGATCACTTTGCATTTTGGCAATAATCATGCTGCATCCCATATTTTCATTATTAAAAATATTATTTAATTATTATTTTATATGATATTACTTATCTGAACTTGTCATTTTTTTTTTTGTTAATTATGACAAATTATACTTTTGGTCTCTTAATTATTCTCAATTATAATTATAGTCTTTATATTTCAATTGTTAGAAATCAAGTTCTTTAATTGTTAACTTAATTGCAAATGTGATCTATATTTTTTAATCCTTCAATTATTAACTTAGCTGCAAATCTAGTATTTCATTTAAAATACTAAATTTGTAACTAGGTCACTAATTAAAGAATTAGATTTGTAATTTGATCAACAACTGAAAAACTAGATTTACAACAATTGAAAAAACATAAACTAGATTTATAATTTGAGAACAATAATTGAGATACCAAACATGTAATTTTTTTTTTTAATTTTAATGTGATTTGTTATAATACTCCGCAGTATTTTTTTTTTTATTAACTCATAATGTAAATACGCAATTAAATAGTAAACACTAAATGTTATATATCCTTATGTGGTTTAAGAAGCATATGCTAGCATGCCTCCTTCGACTATGCATGATTCTTAAACTACTTGATTTTATTTTGTTTTCTTGCCATATGAGAATCTCATATACCAATTTTGAACTACAAGAATGGCCCGAGGTGAATTGGCTTTGGGGCTTCGCTGTTAACATTGGAAGAGGGGGGGAGTCTCATGGCAGAGCTGTAGAGCCTACGAGAGGGTCTGCGACTCTGTCAGGAAAAGGGGTTGCGTCGACTGATAGTGGAGATGGATTTTAAGGTGGTGATCCATGTGATCATGGACAACAAATTCAAAGAAAATGGGGGGAACACCTTGATTGAGGATTGCTTGAGGCCGGCAGTGGGTTTTGAGCAAGTCGATCTCATTCTCTCTTATCCCCCGAAAAGGTAACAAGTGCGCTGACTACATAGCTAACCTTGTTCAAAATGGTGACTTGGGCACGACAATGATAGAAGAGCCTCCAGAGGTATTGGTTAATCTTCTCAGGAACGATGTGAGAGGCGCGGACACCCGTATAGTTAGATAATCTCGAGACTTAGTTTCTCTTTCTTCACAAAAAAAAAATACTAATTTTTAAATAAATACCTCCTAATATCTTTATCGTCACATAAAAGATAAGTTTTTTAAAAAAATAATATTTTTTTCTAAGAAAATCAATATGCATCGTATCTATATGAGATTAAAAAATGAAAAACAAATATAACTCATAAAAATAACTTATAATGTAAAATACTAAATATACGTTTTCACACGTATCTTGATTATAATTAATTTATTAATTAAAGATTAGGAATCCAAAAATTTGTCATCCCTTTCGTTGGCTATATAAACACATTTTATCTGATGTGTAATCCTCCTTCGCAGTCACGCTCTCAGAATCTCTCATTTCGCAGTAGGAGGATCTCTCGGACTCTCAGGTTAGACCCGAACCCGAATCTTCCTCCGTCCCCGGAAAAACCACCCATCCTGTCTCTCTGTCTCTGTATGTATGTGTGTATATTTGTTGGCGGTGGAGCTGATCTAGGGTTTTTGTGAAGCTAGGGTTTTGGTTCGACATGGCATCGAAGCGGATTCTGAAAGAGCTCAAGGATCTGCAGAAAGATCCTCCTACCTCTTGCAGTGCCGGTATGTGTGATCCAGATTAATTGATTGTCTCCTTAAAGTAAAATTATTATTATTATTATTATTTGAGTTCTCAATTTCTTTTGACTGATTGCTGGTTCTCGAAGTTGAGGTTATTTCCCCCTTTCCGAATCTGAATGATTGTTTAAATTTGAATGGTGTAAAGATTCAATTTTTATCTAAGTTTGTTGGCAAATGGTGGGAGATGTAGTTTGGACTTCTGTAACAACCCTTGGCCAGAAATGATCAGTAACAGGAAGAATATGCTGTGAAAAGGAAGAACTCAGATTTCAGAGGGAAGAAGAGAAAAAACTGAGGGAGAAAGAGTAGTAGTTTTATTCAAGAAATCTGTTCTGGATACTTTTGAGAGAGGGGAACTGACATTTTAGACAAATTTTAATTGCTAATTTGGCAGCTAATCCAAATCTAAATCTCCGGGAAGCAGCTTCCACAATTCTGCAGTTGCAACAACCTTTCTTGACTCTATCCTCAACATCTCTTCTGGAAAATAACAAATTCAATGACTAGTAGTTTAATAACTGAATCAGTACTGTTCCACTTAATTTAAGCACAATGCTGTAAAACCTAGTTTTTTAGACTAGAGCTAATATTCCTCTCATAAAATATAAATGTTCAACAGTGTTGTAAAACTTAGCCTAGGCCCTAGGTGCCCCTAGGCTGAGTCAATTTTTGAGTTAATCACCTTTCTAGTCAGCTGACTAGTTGGATACACGGCCTACTTAGATGTTTTTTTTTTTTTTTTTTTTTTTTTGTTTTTTTTTTAGGGTTCTTTCGCTCAAAACAATGTAGTTTTGAGCAAAACAACCTAAAATGGGAAGAAGTTAAATTGAAGCCAGACACAAGGGAGTAAATCAAACAACTCTTCAAACCTCAATTGCCTTTCAGCCTTTACCAGATTTGCTGACTGCCACATAGCTTGCAACAAAGCCATCCCGATCAAAACAAATTGACCTTCACCTTTCACTGCCCAAATGCCATCACTGGCCAACCATCGCAGCCAATTGACAGATTGAGACGAGTCACGAGTGAGGAAGCTTTGAGGCCCATTGCCCACTGCCTAGTCGTCGCTCACCATTGTTGGAGGAGTAGAGAGATTTTATCTTTTCCCACTTTTCCTATAGACTTTAAAGCTTTATTGCTGGATCATGATCAAGGCTTTAATGCTTTAACAGCATTGCTTAAATGTTTAAAAAAAAAATTAAATGAAAGGCAAAATAAGAACGTATTTACTAAGGCACCTACACGGCGCCTAGTCACTAGGTGCCCATCCACTTGATGAGTGCCTAGCGCCTTTTTATAACCTTGATGTTCAATAGCAAGTAATACTTCAACCATATCACATACAATCCATCAAAGTAGCATATACACACACATAGCACATAATAAACCAAGTTCAAATCTCTAGCATTGTGCAGCGCTGGGCATGAGGTTGTGACACTGCTGCGTGGAAGGCTGCTATGCTGGGCGAATGCTGGCCTACTGTGAATGAAGCAGCAATGGACTGCTGCAATGCTGCTGTTAAGACTTAAGATTAGTTTTTTTTTTTTTTTTTTTTTTTTGCACAAAACCATGTCATTTTGAGCTAAACAAACGATTTTTTTTAAGAAGAAGAAAAAAAAAACTGTCTAGATCGACTTTCCCATTCTTCCCCTTGGCCTAGGGGCACCTAGCTCCTAGGCTGATTTTCACAACATTGTTTAAGCACCCCGTTCCCTACTCATAAAAGCTTCCTAAGACCACAATTGCAATACCCTCCACAGCACAGTTCCTTTGCAGATTCTTGTTCTCAATCAGCATATAATGCTGTTACAAGTTCATACTATCTGTTCATTTAATCTAGGATTGCATTCAGATCCTATGAGCCGGGGGCCTTGGTTTGACATTTTAGTCCTTTGAGGGCATGAGCCTAAGTAGTGTAGAAAGTCCTGAATTTTTCTTTGGCATGAAATGATCCCAGATTTTCAGTGATATTATAATCATTTGCTATATTCACATTACAATATGATAATGTTCATTTATAATGAAATCAGTGTTCACACAAGAGCAAATACCAATTGCACTAAAAGCATGCTCAAAGTTGGGAACCTAACTACCCCTACAAAAGTCTCCCTTCATACCTTGAATGTTCAGCAACTCTGCCCTCAAGCAGTGCCACATCTCCCCTGGAACACAGAGCTGTGTAGTCCCAGGCTTATAATAGTATTTGCAACTTAAAAAAAAATAAATTTGGTGCACTTGCTTGAAACTTATTTTGAGCTTCATTGCAAACTTTATATTTTAATTCCTCCAGCTTTGTATTTTGCTCTTGATGTAACCATCAGGCCCAGTTGCTGAAGATATGTTTCACTGGCAAGCAACAATAATGGGTCCACCTGACAGTCCTTATTCAGGCGGAGTATTTCTTGTTACCATTCATTTCCCACCTGATTATCCATTCAAGCCACCTAAGGTAACCTACTAATAGCTTTAATGCAGGTATGGTTATTGCATGAGATGAACAGTGATACACAAGTGCATAGTTTGTTTCCTAAAATCTGGTGTTCCTACATTTATGATTCCCATACACAAGTGCATGTATTATAACCATATTCTTCAGTTTACATCTTTCCTTTCCTAGTTGGATGCCAGTGCAAAGATAACCCTTTATCCATATAAAACTAGATTTTGATCTTTTGCATTGGTTAGTTGGGATATGCTTAGATTAAGACTAAAGAGTTTAATATCTCAAAAGATTATATAATTACTTTACCATTAGTACATTGTAGGTTGTTAGATCTTTCTATTCCATCTATTGCTTTCACTTGGTGATTGAACTAGTTACTCACAAATAGTATACTTAACTTTTACTGAGCCATGCCTCTAAGTGGGTGCAGTCGTCTGAGTAGGTATGAGTTCAACTAGCTCTACACAGCTTTGATGACTGTTTATTTCCTTCAGGCTTTTACTAGGATAAGTGGCTCTTTTGAACATCTTGAAACTTTGCTGAGAGAAAGGATGCTTAGGTAATACTCAATTGCAATCCATGTAACAAAAGGGAAATAAAACTATTTCCATTACTTTGGAGGCACATACCTAGAAAAATTACATCTATGAATTACTAAGAGTTGAACTTTGATCCTTGATAACAATATTATTTTTTCATTTTATTAGACTGCTGATGTGTTCTCCATGTTGGATGTTAGCATTCTGAGTATTAATTTGAGAAACAGTGTTTGTTCTGCTCTTCTCATCCTCCATCTTTTCTTTTGACGCATTCTGTATTTCTGTCACGTCGTACATTTTTGTTCTGCAACATTGTATTCTTATGCTGTGCTTTTTAATGGATTATTACTGATTTGTGTATGCTGGCCTTATTATGCTTATGTCATCCTTGACATTGGATGATGAGTATTGCAGGTTGCTTTTAGGACAAAGGTTTTTCATCCAAATATCAACAGTAACGGGAGCATTTGTCTTGACATTTTGAAGGAACAGTGGAGTCCAGCACTTACAATCTCCAAGGTTTTTGTTTATGTTATAAGTTTCGATTGAAGTTGATACAATATATTGAAAGAAAATATTGAGGGCCAAAATTAATAGAGACCAAACAGGCTAAAATGTTAGTGGGGTATAATGAATGCCGTTAAAGTGAAGTTGGCAATAGTTACAGCTTGCAATCGCACATTTGGGACAGTTCCAGTTATGGTTATATGAATTTTTGTGTCACCGCAGGTGCTGCTGTCTATCTGCTCTCTGCTAACGGACCCGAACCCTGATGATCCTCTGGTGCCCGAGATTGCTCACATGTACAAGACGGACAGGAGCAAGTACGAGACAACTGCCCGGAGCTGGACCCAAAAGTACGCCATGGGTTAGTTACTGCATTGTGAGAGAGGAGAGCTCCTTTCCTTTGTGGCTTTGCTCACTCACTATATAAATATATATATAACTTATGAGAATGAAATGTATGTGTCCCATATAGATAAATGATGAACCTTAGGGGAAAGGTTGAACCTGCCCCTGTTGAAAACTCTCTGCTTTATGTTTGTAATGCAAATTCTGTTGCTCAAAACTCTCTGAGTGGGGATCTTAACATTTAATTTCTTTTAAATGCTGAATTCATCAATGAAGCCCTCAAGTATTTATGTTTGCAAAATTGGTGATAGAGATCCTGAGATGTTACCTGTTTGCTCTGTCAGTCAGAGAAAAAAGTTTATCTTAAAATATAAGGGCAGATCAAATGAGAATAGGGTCTTCTGGTAAAAAGTGAGATTAATTTCAGTCCTCAATCAGAGTTCATTAATAGTTGAGGGTTTTAGTAAAAAAAAATGTGGTTAATTTTATAATTTTTGAATTTTTTTAAAAATATGGTTCATTTTATAATTATTGTAAATTTAGAAGTTTAGTAATGATATGTGAAAGTGTTCACAATTTTTATATGAAGGAGTTTTCATCTTAATTTTCTTGTGTGTGTATATATATATGTATGGTACAAAATAAGGGTTGATCTCAACTGTCTATCAGGTTTATCAATGGTAAAATTTAGCAATGGAAATGAAAGGTGTAGATGTGTGATGTGTCCATATTTTTTTACGAGGGAGGTGTTCTTTGATCCCTTGAAGAATATATTTTTAGTAAGGAGAATGGGTTGAATGAGGCTTATGGACCACAAATGGCCAACATAATTCTGGTAAAAAGGGAGTGGTAAGGGAATAAAGCCAAAAAGAGGTGCTCTCGTTCAACAAAAGCAGTTAGAACCAAACAGTTTTTTAATACTGTAATCTGTGGGCACCAAAGTTAATCAGGATAAGGTGTTACGTGTCAGCTAGTTGACGGTTGAAAGTTAACAGCGCAGCTAACGGAATAACCGATTAATCTTGGGCCCTATTGGGCTCAAGTAATCTAGAGTAAACTAGTAAAGTATGGTAAAATTAGATGGGTCAATTTAAATAGTTTATAATTTTTACTCCTCTAAATAACTTGGCAAATTATGCTGTGCATCCATATGCACCATGTATGGTGCATACGGATGCAAAAACGACGTCGTTTTAATAAAACGCGCGTCTCTCCTTAAAAAAAAATTAGGTTCGATTCCCAGCAACAACATATGAACTAAAATTCCATAATCTAATCTATGAACTAAAAATTTCAGAATGAATGAACTAAAATTCTATAATCTATAAACTAAAATTTCAGAATCGATGAACTACAATTCCATAATCGATGAACTATAATTCCATAATCAATGAACTATAATTCCATAATCTATGAACTAAAATTCCAGAATGAATGAACAATATAATGTTGTTGCTGGGAATCGAACCTGAATTTTTTGTAAAGGGAAGACGCACGTTTTTTAATAAAACGACGTTGTTTTGGCATCCGTATGCACCATGCATCATGGTGCATGCGGATGCATAGCATAACGATTGAAATAACTTAATCTTTAACTCATTCCAAATCATTTACTTTTATCAACTACCTCATTTGAACTTTTGAGTGTTAATTCATTCTAAAAGGGAGTAAAAAAAATCCAACAATTTGATATATTTACTAAGCAAATTGTTAATCTATCTACAATACAAATACAATACAAATCTAATATATCTACAATTATAATAAGAGCCAATAATGTTAGGCCCTTAACTGGAATAAAAAAAATGTCAGTACTACTTGTTTCTTAAAATGAATGGTTCATAGTATTTTGATTTTAGTATTTTTAATGATTTTTCTTATTTACCCTTTATTATATTATTTTCTTTCCTTAAATAACCTTAAATTTCGTTAGTATAAACTTTATTAACGGAATATTCCGTTAACTATTTATTATTCTTAACATACTCTTAATTTATATAAGGTCTTAGGTTCGAACCACATCCCAAGTATAATTGACATAATTGTTAAACATATATTCCGTTAACTATTTTTTATTCTTAACATACTCTTAATTTATATAAGGTCTTAGGTTCGAACTTCATCCCAAGTATAATTGACATAATTGTTAAACATATATTATGAATATGTTAAAATGTATTAAAAAAAATATATAATATAAAATTTAACATAAACTTTGGTCAAATAATTAGCTCGACTAAATACATAGCATTCAAAGTTGAGCATCAAATATTATAAATCAGGAACTACTTTAAAATTATTTGATTTTCTTGAATTTTTTTATTAAAAAAAAAACAAATTTATGTTAAGTTTTTTTTTTTTTTAAATTAATCTTCTTCTGATTATTTAGAACAAAACTTAATATTTCAATTATGCTTTTGCATTATTGGAATGATTTAGGCCATTATGGTATTAATATTTTTTTTGTATTTTTTTATAATGGTACAATTATACATTACATTACTAATATTATACTATTATTTTTTTATCGGACAATGTTCTTACATCATTGTCTGCGCGGCCTAACTACAAAGTTGTTGATCATAAATACAATTACACATGGACTCTAAAACGGTAGGATCATTTTTCAAATAATTGACAATGTTAACATCCTACTAGCTCCAATTGAACAAGTTTACACATCAAAATTTTATCAATGCATGAAAACTTCTAAAAAAATTTGTAAGTTAATTTTTACTATATCATTATATTAATATCTATTGTAACCATATATTTTGAATTATTTATTATCATCCTCTATTAACAGCAATTGTAGCAATTGTTATGGACAAACTCACAAAACAATTTGTCTCAACAAGGAATGGAAATTAAAAAAAAAAATCATTGATTTCATTATTGTTGAAGAAAAGTATATACGGCACTTTATTACTCTTATTAATTAAATAAATTAGTAGTTACAACAAAAAAGAATACATATGCATTTAATTAATTTAGAATTAGA